CCTGTTTCTAGTTGCCACTTGCCTGGAACGTTTTTTTTTTCAAGGCGGAACGCTTTTTTTTAAGTGAACCTCTAATCTTAGATTTCCACTCTGAGTATCATGGATACCAGCATTATCTCACTTAAGAAATTGGTTAAAATCTCGAGTAAATGAGGAAATCAAAAATGAACTGATTCTAAAAAAATCTCTGGTTTGTCACTATGCTTTTCAAGTTTTCAGGTCCTGCTTTCCATTTTCCAATATGCTATGTGTACTAGTTAATTTATTATCCTTCTAGAATTCCACACTGCTTGAACCTTGAAGTTGTGGGAGAGTCTAAAAAACTCTCTGCTTTGCCACTATGACTGTCTGTTGATAAGACGCTTTTATGATAAGTAACTTCTAAAAATAATCATGTATTTTTGCAGTCAAATATGTAGGTATGTGCACAAAGTACGCTCAAACGTAAACAATGCTGGCAATATGGCGGACAGCCACTTTCCGCATCGGCGCGCGTATGGTATTTAATTTTGAAAGTCCCACCAAAATGTTAGCTTAATTTGATTGACTTTTGTTTGGAAACGAACTAAAAAAACTTGAACTATGACGACATCATTTTTTTTTTCGAGAAATGTCTATCAAGTACCTGCTTAGCTGGGATGTGCAAGAGGTAACATTTGGGCGGGAAATAAACATGGATATCGTATTTTGAAATTATTGAAAGATAATTTGAAATCAAGATTATAGTTTTTAGAGCATGCTCTCGAAATTTCAGAGATTTGCAGCCATTCGGACAGTTTTTCTACCATGTCCTGTCGCGNGACCGCAACTATGCGCGATCTTCAACAAACGTTTTGTTTATTTGTTTACATTACGATGTTTATGTTTTTTCTGCAAGATATTTTTGGCGGAAACGGTAAAACAATGCGGATTGCGAAAGTTGAAAATTTTATGAAATGACATGTTTGCGAAGTGCAAACCGCAATTTTTTAATCAAACAAAAATTTATGACATTCGAGCCGCAAGATTTCATACTTACTGAAATTATATGATATTAGAGCCGCGATATTTCAGACAAAAATAGGACTTTTCCAGACTAGCACTGTAGTATTTGGTTCATATTAGATATTGAATATTTTCAGACCCAAATGATTATGTGTTATCTTACGTCATCGTTACAACGGGAAATCCAGGTAAGAATGATATCGACACGCCGTTAAGCGTTATACCTAGTTAATTTTAATATAAGAAAGCACGTATATAGGTGGGAGTGCGGTCAAATATACAACAGAAAAGTCCTAGTACCTAGCTAAATGCCGTAAAAAAGTGCCTAGACTAATCTACGTTAAGAAAGTAATACATACACGGTTACACCCAGTTTTATTCATGGCATGGGACAGTAAAAATAAATTGCTACGTGGAATAAAAGTACGAATTTTGTATCATTTTAATAAAGCCTCAAACTTACAATTCTTTCACGATCATAATCCCTCCTGAACCGCCCTCAACAGAATCACACTTAACACTGCTGACAGAGGTGAGTTGCCCGGAAACAGAAGCGTGTGGCAAAGCGCAATAAAAGTTCTACCTCGAAAAAGCACCAGGTGCATTCAACGAGGCGCCCTAATCCAAAACAAGATAATTTATTTAATTGTGCGTCTGACATTTCTGAATTAAAATTTCAAGGTCATACGAAAAACGTCATGTTTATTCAAGCACGAGATAGTGCAGTTAACCTGAATATAAATACCTTATTGTAAGGTTATAGTATTGTTCATTCATGCGATAGATTATAGAAGCAATAGGCCGTACAGTTTTGCGACCTCGTTGGCTGATTTTTCTGTCGTTCAGTTTTTTATAGCATCAATGAATCATAACTTAAATTTCAGAAGATATATGTCCTTTTGCCAATATTTTTCATTGCAAACGATAATGATCGCAGTAAGACGGATATGATAAGTGCATATGAACAATTACTTGTCTTAATGTTATGTTTCAATGATCATTAGGAGCGAAAGAAACAAAAAGTATTCAGCTCATATGTAATAAACACAGATAAAATATTGTTCATACTGAGACAAAGTTTTTTATCGGCCTGATAAATTTTCGTGTTTTATCGCGGGTCAAGCAATGAAAAGATCTCGCGGACACTTTTACGGCCAGACTCACGAATGGTCTGCAAGGTTCAGTGAGCTAAAAACCTCTCCCAAACTAACCAACGCAGCTCGATGAAACATTGCGTGCCTATGCATTTATAAGGCCATAACGGCGATGTCTAAGTCGTGATCATAATTTTCGATTTTGCATTCGTTTGCATGTTTTACGGTCATACGGTTCAGAATTAACAAAGTGCCTAATATATCTAGTATACTAATGTATATATTTGAACGGAACTCTTAATATATATTGTTAACCACCTAACGGTGATTTTTAATTTGTAACACAATTTTTGATTTCACCTTCGTCCGCGAGTTATACCTCTATTTGTCTATTCTATGTACGTTTATTCTCCTGAGCGAGGATCCGTCTACCTTTACCCTGCCCCTGCGTCTACCTTTACCCATTTTTCGACTTACTTCACTCATACTTATATGATATTTTTCTAAATTTTTTTCTCTTTTCAGTGGTGTAATTTTCATTACGATCAAAGGAAAAAAAATTTTTTGTGCACATACCTAAAATATGGGCATAAGAGAATAAATTGGTTCTAATTCAACAGTAAAGCTCTTTTTCTGAAAACATGTGTATTTTCAATGTTTCCTTTGGTGCATGTGTGGTCCTGAGTCCTGACTGTACTAATTCGTACACTATTAATATTGTTTCAGTGAAAATGAATTTTCTTGGTTTGATCATCTATTACTCTTATTCTGAGTCAGTATTCAGTAAAGCCCAAAAATCAACTTCCATATTTTTTTTACAAAACAATTCATTGCGCCGGCAGTTAAGGGTTAATATAAGAATGAACGTATAGCCTATAAATGGGAGTGCGGTCAAATAATGAAATATACAACAGAAAAGTCCTAGTAGTACTAGGTAGCTAATACCGTACCTAAAAAGGTGCCTATACTAATCTAGTAATCTACGTTAAGAAAGTAATACCTACACCCAGTTTTATTCATGGCATGGGACAGTAAAAATAAATTGTTACGTGGAATAAGAGTAAGAATTTTGTATCATTTATCAAAGCCACCTGCGTCTACCTTTACCCTGCCCCTCCGTCTATCTTTACCATGCCCCTCTGTCTATCTTTACCCTGACCCTCCGTCTACCTTTACCCTACCCTCTCCCTCTCAACCAGTCTGTCGTGTCGCCCCATTCTTTCCATCAGTCCACCCCTGTCTCTCTCACCCAGCTGTAGTGACTGGGTCAGAATATTCGACGGAACTTTAGCTCTACTCAACTCGATTCAGTTTAAACTTTTGTTCTTCTACGTGGATTGTACGATGGCTGGGAAGAGAGATAAAAAAGTAATCTAAAGGCCATTTAGTTCCGCTAGACAAAAAGCCAAAATCGAATAAGCTCAATTAGAAAGGAAAATTTTGCAAGCACTTCAAAGAGATCTCTGTGAGCGAGATTGATTTGTACCAGCTGTTCGAATTTGAGCTCTGAGAAGCACTCATTCCTCCAGATAAGGTAACTGAATTACTTCATTGGTTTCTGTAGTGACTGCGAAAAACTTACTCTTATTACTGTAAATAGTGGGAAGCCGGTTTAAGAGCGCGGCAATGAGTCGAAATCGTTGAATGATGTTGTAAACTTGTTTAGTGAGATGGTACGCTCATTGAGTGAAAAATTGAGCTCGCTATGCATTGAGCTGCTGAACTGAAATCTCAGCTTGCGTGATGAAAACCATCGTAGACAATTTAGAAGTTTTCTTTAATTAAAGCCTACTTTACGACTTGTCCAACTAGGATAAGTTGAGACGACGCCACGCATGGAACGTACACTCCATTGCCAGGCCGTGTGCAGCGCATCAATTCATAGGAGGATAATCTAGGCTCATGGAAGTCATGCCTGTTTTACGACTTACCCAACTAGGATAAGTTGAGACGACGCCACGCATGGAACGTACACTCCATTGCCAGGCCGTGTGCAGCGCATCAATTCATAGGAGGATAATCTATAGGCTCATGGAGGTCATGCCTTACACCATCATTGCTTAAAATAATATAGGAATAATATGTTAAATTATATTTTTAGATAAATATTCAAGCTATACAATTTTATGTGATTAGGCGAATCAATATAATTAATGTGATTAGGCGAATTATATTAATACTTTATTATAACAGAGATGCAACAGAGCTGTTCGAACGAAGACAATCGGTTACAACTATCATGTATACATGGCTCAGTTTGCTTCTTCGTTGATTCATACATATATATTTAGGGTTCATTTATACGAATAATATTACTTGCATGGGCCATAAGACAAAATATATTCTCTTTAATATTTACAGTGAACTAAAAATTGGTAGTATTTATATTCCTATTCTAATGTCGGGGTTGGTTTTGTGAATGGTACCACTCGGTCCCGCTTGTACCACAGCACCACGCGCACCAGCACAGCCACCACCACGTTGACCCCGACCACCGCTCCGACCATCAGGAGCCACAGGTTTGGCAGGGTTTCTGAAAGCCAAAAAGAGATTTTAAATCATAAATAATATGTATATTTATATTTATAAAACTAATTTTGAGTATTTATCACAATTTCGTGAGAAATTTCGCCTGCTGGTATCTTCAGCTGGGTGGCTTCCATCTGTTTATGAACTTGAGGTCATGAAGCCTGTTTAGCGCTCTGTCACTGATTCGTCATGCCATTCAAAGAGTTTCAACAGCTGGCATGTTGAAAAGCTTGTCTGCCGGGATGGATCTGTACCTACTGCAGAGGAGACGGGAGAAGTAAGTCATTCTGTAAACATGAAAAATATTAAACGGAATGGCACAGAACTTTGAAAGCGAGACCTTCAAGATTGAATTATACCATAACGAAGGAAGGGGAGACTGTGCAGTATCCCCGAAACAACGTAACAGATACGCAGATTTCAATCCCTACAGGAAGGATATCTTTTTTAACGTCCTACCAAAGGATCTAAGAGAGGGGGGGGGGTTCACNCAACGGGCTTGTAGCAGACCTCCTGGCCGGGCAACAAGTCGCTAAGTAAAGGCAAGTACAATCGCCATAGTCGTAAATATGCGAGAAAAAAATGAATGCACGTAATAGCGCCATAAATCTGTCTCTTATACACATCTAGATGTGTATAAGAGACAGACCACGCCCCCCTCCCCGCCCCTCCACCTGCGCCTTCTCCGATGATAACAGGAGGCCTGCAATACAATTATTATCATTAGGGATAATAATTATTATTATCAGTTATTATTAGGGATAATTATTATTATCAGTTAATATTGATGCTAATTATTGTCGTCAGTTATTATTCGGGATAATTATTATTATCAGGTAATGTTAGTGATATTTATTAATATCAGTTATTATTTTAGGTAATTATTATCATCAGTTTTTATTAGGGATAATAATTATTATCATCAGTTATTATTAGGGATAATAATTATTATCAGATATTATGAAAGATAACTTCAGTTCAACATTAGCTGACGCTTCTATTAATTATAATGCAAAAGATATTATTGCAAAACAAACTCCAATGCCTGACAGGAGCCAAGACTAGAGCTTAGTTTGAATTATTATTTAATTACAAGAAAAATTTGAACGGAACTGCAAAAAAAAAACACGAGAGAAAACTACCCCGTCCAGCATAAATAACTAGAAATGGAAACCATGAATAATAAGAATAACTATAACAATTAACCCCGCACATTATTAATGACTTGATCAAATTACCCCGAACATTAAAAATCTCACGATCAAATTACCCCGAACAAAATATAAATCTGGATAAAATAAAAGCAAACACCGTTGAATGACCCCAATAATTACACCGAACGTTAAAACTAATGTAGCCAAATTACTCCAGCCAGCACGAATGATCAACTCAAACTCGTCCAATAGGTGTGAATGTCCTGATGAAATTACCCCGAACTGTTTTTATTACCAGGTAGAATTACCCCAAATAGGGTAAATGACCTGAGAAAATTACCCCAACATGTTTGAAAGACTAGATTAGATTACCCTAAACGGTATAAATAACTAAATGATTAAATGGCTATGGAATAAGGATAGAATGTAATGAAAGATTTAATTATATCCAAGGGTTATTAGCTAACTATATTAATTGATATTATAATTAATGTTAATTATTATTAATTATATACAAGGCGGGTTGGTAGCTCACCTACGACGAGCAACACCTGACGCAGTGAGACCTGCGAGTGGAGACTGGCGAGTGGACGTATCATTGGAGACTGGCGAGTGGACGTATCATTGGAACCTGGCGAATGGACGTATCATTGGAGACTGGCGAGTGGACGTATCATTGGAGACTGGCGAGTGGACGTATCATTGGAGACTGGCGAGTGGACGTATCATTGGAGACTGGCGAGTGGACGTATCATTGGAGACTGGCNNNNGTGAAGTTAATGCTGTCTCTTATACACATCTAGATGTGTATAAGAGACAGAACTTCACCATTATAAATGTCATCATTACCGGGCAAGGTTGGAGTATTTTAGGCTGAACGCAACACGCGAGCGCCGCTGCGTCGTGAATAACGTCACCTTGGCTGGCTCGTCGCTGTCCATAAATCGTCCAGGATAACAAAGGGTTGCAATTCACACGTTATTCTTACCTCAATGACATAATTCATGTCCTTTTGAATAGTCGCTAAGAAAGGGATTAATGACGTTGAACTTTTATGATGAAGCAACGTTTTGTATTCGTTTTTGCGACGGCCGTTGTATTCCGATGTTAATTTATTTAAAAAGATTTTCGTTTAGTCATGGGTTCATTCCAAGTGGATTTTTTCTCGGAGCTTCACGAATTAAACAGATTGTTGCTAAAGGCCATAAATACCACGACCTCAATGGCGGACTTGTCTCATAAATGGGAGGTTTCAATCGTCCTGTTGCGTACCTGTCTTGGGTGGCGGCCTGCGCTGTGAAGCCATTACTCAGCTCTCTGTCCGCTGCAACTCTGACATTAAGTTGTTCTCAGAGTGTCCACTCTGAAGCCATTACTCAGCTCCCTGTCAGCTGCAACTCTGACATTAAGTTGTTCTCAGAGTGTCCACTCTGAAGCCATTACTCAGCTCCCTGTCAGCTGCAACTCTGACATTAAGTTGTTCTCAGAATGTCCACTCTGAAGCCATTACTCAGCTCCCTGTCCGCTGCAACTCTGACATTAAGTTGTTCTCAGAGCTGTCTCTTATACACATCTAGATGTGTATAAGAGACAGCTAATAAACTCAACCAACTAATAAACTCAACCAACTAATAAACTCAACCAACTAACAAACTCAACAAACTAATAAACTCAACAAACTAATAAACTCAACAAACTAACAAACTCAACAAACTAATAAACTCAATCTCAACAACCTTGGAGACTGGCGAGACCTGTTATTAATTCGTTAAGCTTTGGCAGTTCAGTGACTGCTAAGTGACGTAACTCTTCAACTAAATCTCACTTAACATCGCTTCGTCGGTTTAGTAACAGGTAAGTAACATTACTCCTCAATCGATGAGTCAACTAACATTGCTTTATCTGTATGGGTTGCACAGCGCGTCTTTGCAAGCGTCTATACACAATAGCAGTTCACGGGTTTATGACACGCAGCGTTGTCTGTGGCAGGATCACTGCCACTCATTAGCGCGAGGACTTGTACGGTGTTATGATCCAGCCACTTGCGCCTCTTGCTGGGGTCAGATAATCGAGTTAAGTATTCGCAATTGTAACGATTCTATTTTCATTTGGACCGATTTTTAGCGCATTTTCTCATTTATGGGAGAAAAGGCGCTATATTGTGCTCGTCATGTCCGTCCGTGACTCGCTCGTCATGTCCGTCTGTCTGTCTGCATGTCCGTCCGTGACTTCACGTTTTCATCGACGAGAAAATACGCTCTCTGTCACTCACGGCAGTGAGTACTGAGTTATATTTTCCTGCTAATATTAATTACACTTAAATTATCACCAATAACTAATTTAACGGTGCTGATAATTCGAATAAAATTTCAGAAATTATCATGAATAACGAGAATTTCTGAAGACATCAGATGAATGTAGAATATTTCCATCAACGTCTTTCAGCACTGCCCATGGGTGATGATTAAAACACTGGATCTTTAAATCAGGTTTATTCATTCACATTTCTTCACACATTTCTGCTTGGCAACAATGTAACCAGTTAAGGTTAATGTAAATGGCAAATTTACGAGCAGAGCCAGTTGAGTCAAACAACGTAATTTGTATATCATGTAACAGTTGGTTCTACGAAACCAAGCTCTAACGCAACGCAAAGACAAGCGAGTAGCACGTTCGCAAATCCGCTCGCTATCGCCACCTGCCAACAACTGAGACACCTGTTCACTGACGCGACAGTATCGCCGAAAAAATTCCACGTTTCAATGACTTAACCTCGCCATGCATCACCTCATATCGACCAAGCGGTGATTCCTAATTGGGATAATTTAACCACTAGATTTATTGCCCCCAGGAACACGACTCACCCTCCTAGATTGATCTCTCCCTCACCATACCCATTCATCACAATCTTTTTAAATCGCTGGTGCTTCATATTACCGAGCCTCATAGGCCTACTACTCATGATGGATGTCTGGGGGTATCGGGGGGCCACACCCAGAGAAATCTGTGAGACTCGGTCCATTTAGCGATGCATTTTCGCCATTGTGTGAGCCATCTTAAGAAAGTTTGGCCCGACAAGAAGGCGCGTCAGTGCTACGTGCAGAAAGCGAGTCAATATTCAGACAATATGACACATAAATTGTTGTGTGGTGAGCGCGTGACTCGCAACGAGCGCTCGTGTCGTCCTCGGGGCTCCGATCAATGAGGCTCTCAACTGAGCGCTAATGACGTGACCGCCTCCTAACTTTTCAGGGAGCAATGCCTTGTCCAGTTGGCATGGCGCACGAATTAAATTAGAAATTAGAGTCCGTTTATTAACTCTTGGAGAAAGAATAATTCCATAATAATTCCTTTGAGACAAAGATGTGTGCATAATGTGCGACGATACGATTTATTGTGTTACAATATATCTAGAATTGCCCCGAAAAGAAACAGATATCCCATGAATGCCCACACCAAGCGTCGGAGAACAAAGTCAGAGTAGCAGAGGTCTGGGATCTGAGTAATGGCTTCAGAGTGGACACTCTGATAACATCTTAATGTCAGAGTTGCAGCAGACAGGGAGCTGAGTAATGGCTTCAGAGCGCAGGCCGCCACCCAAGACAGGTACTCCACAGGACGATTGAAACCTCCCATTTATGAGACAAGTCTGCCATTGAGGTCGTGGTATTTATGGTATTTATGGCCATTAATAACAATCTGTTTAATTCGTGAAGCTCCGAGAAAAAATCCACTCGGAATGAACCCAAGACTACACGAATATCTTTTTAAATAAAGTAACATCAGAATTAAACGGCCGTTGCAAAAACGAATACAAAACGATGCTTCATCATAAAAGTTCAATGTCATTAATCCCCTTCTTACTTACTATTCAAAAGGACCTGAATTATGTCATTCCGGTAAGAATAACGTGTGAATTGCAACCCATGAATTATGTCATTCAGGTAAGAATAACGTGTGAATTTCAACCCTTTGTTATCCTGGACGATTTATGGACAGCGACGAGCCAGCCAAGGTGACGTTATTCACGACGCAGCGGCGCTCGCGTGTTGCGTTCAGCCTAAAATACTCCAACCTTGCCCGGTAATGATGACATTTATAATGGTGAAGTTCTGTCTCTTATACACATCTAGATGTGTATAAGAGACAGCATTAACTTCACGTNAGCGAAGGAGGCTACACCCAGAACAGTAGATGGCTAGACCCTCGACTTGGACAAACCACGACCTGCAGGTCGAAGTGAGGGCACATTGGGTCGCCGCCCACCAGCAGTGCGACTTGTTGAAGGGGCCGAGCCCCACGAGGATGATCCCTCACCCAGGGTGAGGGGCGGCACGTAGACCGTGGCCAGCTGGGCGGCGAGGTTTGTAATGACATCCTCCGGAAGACGCTCGTTGCGCAAGTTAAACAAGCATATGCTGGATGTACCTTCAACCTCATCATCCTTGTTCATATCCTTACCAGAAGCTATTAAATTCATTCTAGATGTTTCTCCTTCGACCATCGATGTGTCCATATGAGATGTTGGCATCTCTGCAGCACGAGCCCTAGCCTCAGCTTTGGTCACCACAAGAGGATAGGAGAATTTGTCTTGTGCCAGTCGCAGTCCACCACTTAGAAGGAAGACATTGACGTATCCACGGTGCACCAGGGTGGCTGCATACTCAGGGGCAAGGTCCTCAGCATAGTCGTACACAATGATGATGTGGTCAGGGTGGTTGCGGTACTGCAGCAGCTCCCTGCACTCCCAGTTGATGGAACGGCCCAGCCGACATGACGGGTGGTTTATGGCTGTGATCAGGTGGCTGGTGCTGTACGCGGTCGCCTCACGTACGTCCACTAGGAGGTATGCAGGTGCCGCGGTGGTCGTCTCGGCTGTCTGCACCATATCAGGTTGCTCAGCCACCTACATTTTACATCATTGTATCCAATATGACTATTGTACGGTAGTTAAATAAATACTTATAAACATGGGAAAAACCAACAGCTGTTTTACTGGCACAGGGTAGTCTTTTCGTCAGCTCAATCACTTGTGTTTTATCTTATAGACATAATTATAATAATGAGAATAATAGGAAGAGAATGATTTTTTTAGTACAATACCTAGATAAATATAAGATGCATAAAATATAACAGATGTGTATAAGAGACAGTACCACAGCACCACGCGCACCAGCACAGCCACCACCAGGTTGGCCCCGACCACCGCTCCGACCATCAGGAGCCACAGGTTTGGCAGGGTTTCTTAAAGCCAAAAAGAGATTTTAAATCATAAATAATATGTATATTTTTTATAATATGTTTAATGTTTTTTAATATGTATATTTATATTTTAAAAAACTAATTTTGATTAAGTATCACAATTTCGTGAGAAACATCGCCTGCTGGTATCTTCAGCTGGGTGTCTTCCACCCAGCTGAAGGCTGCATGGCCTTAAGTTTATGAACTTAAGGCCATACAGCCTGTTTAGCGCTCTGTCAATGATTCGTCATGCCATTCAAAGAGTTTCAACAGCTGGCATGTTGAAAAGGCAACAATTTGACGCTGCTGCACGTCAACAATGTCGTCCAGCGTGATGCAACGTGTCCATAATGTCGGCCAGCGTGATGCAACGTGTCCATAATGTCGGCCAGCGTGATGCGACGTGTCAATAACGTCGGCCAGCGTGATGCAACGTGTCCATAATGTCGGCCAGCGTGATGCAACGTGTCAATAACGTCGGCCAGCGGGATGCGAACTGTCAATAATGTCGTCCAGCGTGTTTTACATGTTTATTCCGCTGTTCACCCACTGCGCTTCTTGTCTACCGTATGGATCTGTACTCACTGCAGAGGAGACGGGAGAGGTATGTCATTCTGTACACGTGAAAAATAATAACCGGAATGGCACGGAACTTTGAAAGAGAGGCCTTCAAGATTGAAATGTACCATAACGAAAGAAGTGGGAGACTGTGCAGGATCCCCGAAACAACGCTAAAGATACGCGGTCAGATTTCAATCACTGCGGGAAGGATCACTTTCCGTGGCATGACCATGGCTGATTAACGTCCTACCAAGGGATCTAAGAGAAGGGGAGTTCACCCTGGAGACCTCCAAGAGACAACTAGTCGTGTTCCTGGGCACAATCCCAGATCGACCTCCCCTGCAACACTACCAGCGGCGAGAAGCAAGCAACAGCATCGTGCATCAGGTGGTCCAAATGAGGGCACTCTGTATTGTGGTGGCAGCAGCTCTGTATTGTGGTGGCAGCTGCTCTATATTGTGAGGGAAAAGTTTGTTCGCTTTGTTTGTGATGTTGACGAAATGTTCATTTGACGATATTCAAAGAATTTTTATAATTAAAATTGATATAATTCACTTAAATCGCCTTTAGCAGATTATCACGCAAACGTATCGAGGAGAACGGCAAATCCTGACAAAAAAATCATTTATACAACACTTCTCTTTAAGTTCATTTCTTCTTATTTGTTTGTTTGTCTGCTACAAATCTTATAATTGATATTTAACACACTTCTACCTGTCCAATCGATCTGAAATTTTTGCAAACTTGCACAAAGTTGGAAACAATGCATGAATTATTTCGTTCTTGTTGAGAGATAACAAGTTTGACTCCTGCTCTATGAACTAAGAATTTCATTATTAATGTCAAGGTAGGTCTAAATTATAAACAATTACTTATTTTTAAATAATGAAAAAAACTAAAATTATTTTTTTTATATATGGAAATAAAATTTGATTGTAATTTTAAAAGCATATTATTGTATATTACAAACTATTATACTAAAATAGTTACCCCATCAAACCCGACTTCCATCCCCCCGAGCGTCCACTGACTCCCCCAGAACGCGTACGTTTGTTACGTCACGCGTACGTTTGTCACGTCACGCGTACGTTTGTCAAAAAAGAATCGTGTTGGTTACGAAAAATATAAAGTAGAAAGAATAAATACAAATGGTTTTAATCATTTCGGCTCAATTAAAGTTTTTTTCATGGTCTTCAGAATAGTATTAAGTGAGTGCAATTGTACACGCGTACTATGAGCTAAATGTCTCACCATGATCAGCTTAACCTTGGATTCCGACAGAGTCCATTTAGTTTTGTTCATAATGTCAGCGTTGATGATGATGAGCTCGCCGGGCACATAACCTCCCTTGTTGAGAGTCACGACGACACTAAGCGGCTCACTCCTGCAGCACCAGCAGTACAACGTCTTGTCTTTCTCGCACTGCTGGGGCATCTGCAAGACAATTAGAGAATAAAAGGCATGTTTAAGTATTGAAACATTTATAAAAAAATCAATGTCAAGATTGGGAGTTTCAGTTGGCACTACAGCAGGTTTAGAGGCGGTGCCGTTTCTGCGTCATATTTTTTGCTGATGTTGATATAATGAAGTTTTCATATGATCGTAAACTAAACAGTTATTGCAAAGGTATAGCCTTTTTATTTTATTTTATGTAGGATGTTTTTCAGCATAGTAGGAAGTTTTCTTAAGAAATTTTAGGATAAGAAATGCTACCAGGAAGTCCCCCGACTCTCACCCTAAGCGTCGCGTCGGCGTTGAGGTCGACTACCGAGTTGACGCTGACGGGGTGGACGACGGTGACGTCCTTGCGTGCCTTAGCGCCCCCTAGCGTCACCACAACGCTGTGCACCACCTGACCATAGCGTCCTACGAACGAGGAGGGCGCGTGTGATGGTAGCGTGTAACTGAAGTGAAAATCGGTAGGTCCTGCGGCCATTTCCTGTGATGCATCTGCCGGGATGTCATAAATTGTACAGATTTGCAAGGGTGAAATAAGAATGGTGAAAAATTTTCTCATGAATCGACCTTTAGTTATCAACTTGCTTTAAAACATAACACTACAATAAAATTATAATATAATGACTGACATGCTTTAAAATATAACACTACAATAAAATTATACTATAATATACTGACTGACATTAACCAAAATATTGTTCGGACCTAGCACCCAACATGCCGGAGTGTAAATGATTCAACGACAATATAGGCTCATTTTATGACAAGTGTGCCCAGTTGACGTGTTGCCATCCTGCGTGTTGCCATCCTGCGTGTTGCCATCCTGCGTGTTGCCATCCTGCATGTTGCCATCCTGCGTGTTGCCATCCTGCGTGTTGCCATCCTGCGTGTTGCCATCCTGCGTGTTGCCATCCTGCGTGCTGCCATCCTGCGTGTTGCCATCCTGCGTGTTGCCATCCTGCGTGTTGCCATCCTGCGTGTTGCCATCCTGCGTGCTGACATCCTGCCTTTTACATCCTGCGTGCTGCCATCCTGCGTACTGCCATCCTGCGTACTGCCACTCACCTGCCCACAGGACTATCTGGTCCTCGTAGTAGGTCTCGGTCCCCCCGTAGGTGCGGCGGCGGTAGGTTGCCCTGCCGCGGCGCTGCTTCTCGAAATGCGTCTCAGCAAATTTTACCCACGCTGCGCCCGAGAAGACCATGCTCAGTGCTGCCAAAGTATACAAGTTATCAAACACTAAATTCTTCAGTAATAAAAAATAGTCACAATAAATTATTTAATGATTTCTGTGTCGATTTTCAACATAGTCATAGATATTCAGGCCTTCCTCATGTACAATGCTCGCATCTTCTATTTTTATTTGACAAACAATTTTTCGAGAGAAAATTAAATTCTATACAGGAACCAAATGAGTACGTAATCCTAGCCATCCGCTTACTTTTTCCCTTGATGGGTTTGTCTGACGTGACCTGGACCCGTCCAGTGATGGTCTGGCCTGGGAAGTACACCAACTTGGGCTGGTCTATCAGCAGCGTCAGTTTAGGAGCCATCGCGACTTGCTTGTACCACTGATTTGTAATAATTAAATGGATGATAATTAACTGATAGTGATAGCAATTGATGTGTAGAAGATAGCACCTACGAATTCAAATCAAATTAAAGTCAAACTTGACCCCTTAATGTCCACGGCTATACAGTCCACGGCTAATGTCTCCGTAGACAGAGAGGTCAACGGTCATGGGTCAACCAATGAGTTGCTGGACCCATTGTGTCCCCACTGTCGTGAAAATGACACCAAAATGCAAATAAGTCTCGATGACTTTTGGAGACATATATGACTTTTTTGATTAAATTTGAAATGGTGTTACATGATAAATAAAAGAAAATGTATAATGTAATCTATAATGTCACTCTTTACTATTTATTGCGCTTGAATTGAGTGAAGTGATATCATTAAACATCATCATTAATCCACGAGTAGTTAGCATCAATGCCGAACTAATTACGGTACTAGAGGTGGAACACTGTTCAGGGAATGTTGCCGGAGAAGCTGTGAAGCATTGCAGGTACAGGGACGGCAAAATCACGAAAGGCTCGTTCGAAAGGGGCCAATCATTTAATGAGCATCAAACAATCATTTAATGGTCACCAGCCAATCATTTAATGGATCAAAATATCATTTAATGGTCATCAGCCAATCATTTAATGGTCGTCAACCAATCATTTAATGGTCGTCAACCAATCATTAATGGTCTTCAACCAATCATTAATGGTCTTCAACCAATCACATAAAGGTACAGGGACGGCATAGTGCAGTGTAGGTAGTCACGTTGCAGGTACAGGGACGGCATAGTACAGTGTAGGTAGTCACGTTGCAGGCTCAGGGACGGCAAAAAGGTCACGAAAGGCGCATTCGAAAGGGGCCAATCATTTAATGGTCATCAAGCAGTAATTTAATGGTCATCAACCAATCATTTAATGGTCTTCAACAAATCATTTAGTGGTCATCAAGCAATCATTTAATGGTCATCAACCAAACATTTAATGGTCTTCAACCAATCATTTACTGGTCATCAACCAATCATTAATTGTCATCAACCAATCATTTGCTGGTCTTCAACCAATCATTTAATGATCATCAAGCAATCATTTAATGGTCATCAGTCAATCATTTCATGGTTTTCAACCAATCACATAATGTTCATAAAGATCAGCAGCTGTTGCAAGCCCTGAGCCAGTTGACATTGCAGGTGAATGACAGAAATTTGGCTCAGCGTTCATTAAGTTTCTTAGCTGTTTGCAAAGGTATGCGTAATAAATGCATACGTAGGTATGCAAAGGTATGCGTAATAAATGAATCGCTATAGACGATTCATTATGGACGCAATCTAATCATGTATTGATCTAATTCAACCAGAAGCATCACGATTCTTTTTTATTCGAGTTTGAAGATTCTTTAATCATCAAACCCGGTAGCACCGAGTTGTATTTGTGCACCTGCAACTAGTGAAGGAAATTCAAGCCGAAAGTGGCTAAGGTGGCTAAGTGGCCAGGGTGTTATGAATCGGCTGCAGGCTAACGTGGCCTAATCAAAACTCACACAACTATTAAGTCTATTATATTATTGTTATAATAATCTTCGACAAAACTCGCAGCATAAAATAGATAGAAAGTACAATTCAGGGGCTGTAGTGTATCCAGTTGTTCGATGTGTGGCCTCATTGCTCCTAACGAAATAGCGTAAATGCACAATGAGCAGCCAGCGTCCTAGAATTGTAGATATGCATCCTGTACCTAATCTCGTGATAAACAATAAATATACGAGTAACTTTCTGAGTGAAAAGAACAATTTTTTATCAGGACTATGGACACCGACCTGATAAGGGCGCAAGCTCGATAAGGCTGTTCATCAGTCAATACATTGGATGTAGGACCACATGACCACAATCGACCAGAAATTGATCATGTGGTTATAACCGACAGGTTCGTGACGTAAACGTGACGCATATATAGGAGCGGTTATAGACACTTCAACAACGTTGTAAAAATTGAGCTGATAATGCGGGAATAAAGGTTTTCAAGACACTCAGAGGCTAGGGAGAGGCTGGATTAAGGTGTGAGGCAAGTTTATTGTTTACAGGTACAGAGCTGGAGATGAGCTGACTAGAAACAGAACTGGTATGACAAAATTAACACAAAAAATTAACTGTTTCTTAAGTGGTCTGATTCAAGAAGTCAGGCGGGATGTTGCTACAACGTATTGGTTGCATGTCAGGTTCTGTAAATGGTCATCGTGCATTATCAATAGCTAATGATCCAATTGATTCGTATCCTGAAAGTATGAAGCTAAATTCATGCAATGCATGCAGTTTACTGTACTTCAGGAAAATATTCTGAGATTCGCAATTCTAGAAAACCTTGTAATACGTCCGTTGTAATAAGTGGCAGCGTCTTTTTAGCGCATTTTCTCAGGAATNTTTTTTTGTGATTATGTGTCACATAAAATTGTCGACAAATACGGTGCTTGCACCAAAAAATCTGAGATCAGAAATTATTCCTTGCGGTCAGACCTACGAATCACTTTCGCAGGAACGGCTTCAATAATTTAATTAATTAATTATATAATATAATTGAGCCTAACTATATTATAAAGACCTTTGGAGAAGGTCTTGAGGCGACTTTTAAATGAACCTTTAGGCGACTTTTGAGATAGCTATGGATATGACAAGAAAATCTATAAAAGAATAATGACCCAAGATTAAATTGAAGGCATCTCGCCCAATTGGAGAGCTTGAAATGGCCAAAGATCATGAAATACTAGACACAACACCAGGTTCAACAACAAACGATCGGTCTCAAAAATCTCAGGTGGAAAAATGCATATAACGTCATCACAACTGTAGCGCACCAACCGGCTTCAGCTCAAAACATCAAAAACGGACTTTATTTGGTTCACGACTGCTCGGCGCCAGCATCAGCTTCGAGCCAACCCTGTTTACGTGGGCAACGGGTTTGCCATGCCTGCGTCCGTATTTCGTAACCTGGGCATTCAGCTGGACTCAGAACTTTCTATGAACAATCACATTGCCAAAGTCAACAGCGCTTGCTTTGGCGCTCTGTGACGAATATCGCCGCCATCATCAGCCGCTGTCTTTCGAGGTCGGTCCTTGAGGCCCTTGTGGTGGCGCTCGTTCTGACCAGATCTGACTATGGTAATGCCACGCTTTATGGACTTCCGACAACGGCACTTAATAAACTGCAATCCGTAATGAACGCTACTGGGACACTCGTGAGCATAAAGCCAAAATTCGACCATGTGACGCCGATATTGCGCGATCTTCATTGGCTGTGCATTCAGCAGCGCACGCAGTTCAAGGTCGCTGTTCTGACGTTCCGATGCCTTCACGGTTTGACGCCTCCTTATCTCACGGAAGTTCTACAGCACTTGTCAGATCTGTCTTCTAGAAGACAACTACGCTCGTCAACCGTGGACCTCGTCGTTCCATCTACACGTCTGCCTACCGTCGGTGACAGAGCGTTCCCGGTCGCCGCCGCCGCCAGAACCTGGAACAGGCTGCCGGCTTCAGTAACTTCGGCTACATCGTTGCAGGTGTTTCGTCGACGCCTGAAGACGGAAAATTTTCGTAGAACTTTCATGAAATTTCATTTCAATTTCAGGCCATAAGCCTATATTGAGCCTATATTGAGTGCCGACATTTCTATTCTATTCTATTTAATTAAGTAATTTCAAATTTTTATCGTAAGAAATATACATTTCTAGCTCTATATGCAACTATCCACTGGTGGGTGCTATGTCCGGGATCGCTAATGCCATCAATATTACAACCCTGACAACCCAAATCCCATCATCCCTAATTAAGTTCATAACATCAAAGTTATCGTAATCTGGTCAAAGCAACATTTTGCATATAGAATAAAACTTCCATTTGACTGACGTTAAAGAAGCTATGTTATCTTTTTCTTTCCGACTATATAGTCGCTAAATATACATCATAGCTAGCACATGGTGGTGTTTGTGTTGGCTAACCAGTTGATATTAGCACTGTGTAGCCAACAAATATATGTAGATATGACAATGTACGTGTGCTTATCCCTCCGTAGGCTCCGTTCGCAGCGTAGATCGCGTCGTAGATTGTTATGTTATCGAAGCTGAAACAGTGCGCATCACCTTTCTTATCGATTGGTAATGGGCGTATAAATTCTCAACAACACTCATCATCCCAGAAGCTGGTAAACTTATCAATAATTATTTGTAAAGGGATCTTGGCAAAACATGAATGATTTGAAAGAGAGTGAGAAGGATTGATATCGCTTGGAAATGCAATATCAAATTGGTATATTGTTCAGTTACAAATCTCTCTCAAATTGCTTTACTTACTTCGTAATTCTCCAACTCCTTCTCACTTACCTCTCTCAGGAATTTCATTCATGCTAATTATAGAATAAAGTACTTTAAACTTGGGGCCAGCAAAGTTAAATGACTCCCTGCAACGATAAAATCTGACTAAATTACCAGAAGCATCCTCAATTTCTTATAATACTCACGAATGTTTAGTAAGTCTCAATTTCTAGCAGAGGATTTTCCTCAAACATAGGGAATGATTACTTTTAAGGAATATTTGTGGCATATTCTTTCCTTTAAAATTTCAGCTTAATCAAGGTTTTAGTTTAATCTTCAGTCACAAGCATGAAAAACTCATGAAAATTGCCAACAGTAATCAATACATAATATTTCAAACCTTTAACTAATCTAAATATTCATGTATTCACTAAAATTTCAGCACGAGACTCTCTCGGTTTACAATTTAAATGACAAGCAATGTTTAACTAACCAAACTGTGTGCACGGATTTATTAGGTTTTTTTCGCTGAGTAGGCAATTTCTTCATGAATAACTCGTTTTTACTCTCAACAACACCACAGTATCTAGGCTACGCACGCTCTGTGTATAACAGTTCACCGGCCAACGTCACGAGGTAAGTTAGCCTGACTGTTGGCTCCGGCCGTAACCTCGACTGTTGTATACAAGAAGAAGTACAAGAAGAAGTAATTTTTGTGTATATTACTGCGCTATTTAATTATAATTCATGTGTTTGTGTGTTACGTTAAGTGTTACTTAATTTGCTGTTGCGGCAGCAAATATCCGGAGAAGCTGTCTTTCGATAGTCAGAGAAATAAGTGGGTCTGGTGGACCCACTTGGGTGAGGACCCTATTAGAAAATATAAGCAGTTTTTCTGACCC